CGGGTGCCCGTGAAGCACCCGGCTTTGCGGACCCCCCCGGCGCCCAGCCCGCCTCGGGGGCAGCGTGTGCGTTCCCGCAGCAGCCGCACACGCGCGTGCACACACACCTGAGCGCTGCGAGCTGGACACGTGTTCATACACGCACACGCAAGGAGCCGCGTGTGTGTGTGTGTGTGTGCATTGACCTCCTGGTGTGCACACATGCATGTAGCCTTGCACACGTGTGCATGCCCCCACGCACCTATATAGCCCCTTCTCACACACCCTGCACACACACCCTTGTGCATACACATATATACCCTTGTATGTGTGTGCGTGTGTATGTGTGTATATGTATTACACCCCCTATGCACACCTACCCCTTGTGCATGCACACGCTGATCATTGCACATGCATGTGCACACACACACACGGACCCTCCCTGTGCCTGTACTCATATACACCCCCATGCACACACCTGCATGCGCACACATACACCCCCTCCCGCACGCACACCTACCTCTGGCTGTGCATCTACCCCCTTGCACACACACACACACACACACACACACGTACCCACAACCCACAACTTTTCCGTGCCCACAACATGCAGGAAGCACAGCCCCAGTTGGGGCAGGGGGCACATCATGCCCTCAGTGCAGTCCCCCCATGTCCCAGGGCACCCCCCGCTGCACACGCAGCCTGGGCTGGCACTCGCTCCTGGCACGGCCGAGGTTAACTCTGCCGCCGCCCGGGCTTTGCGATGCGGGGAAGCTTTAATTTAATGAAGTGTGAGGCTTTTTATGGGCTTTTAATTACGCGGTGATAATTAACATTATAGGCCGCTGGGTCCCGCTGGTGCCCGGCTGCCCTGTGCCAGCTCCCGCCTGTTTGTAAATAAAACCAGTGGGCCGCGGCGGGCACGGTCGGGGTGACGCGTTTTGCTTCATAGTTGGGTGCTCCTGCACCTGGCCTGGATGGTAATGGGTGTCCTGGAGGGCCACCAGGGATGTGCTTGCTCCCATGCCAAGCAGAAGCCTCTCCTAAGGGTGGGAATTTGGGTGCCAAAAGCAGCCCCAGGGGTGTAAGGAGATATTGGTATCCCCCTACCCACTGCAAGAGGTGCGGGGTGCCCCA